GTTAAACACTCTAATACTAAAAGCTTTCCAGGATGTGAGCCTGAAAGATTTCACTTTGCTTACAGAATTCATGAAAAAAATGCAAAGGAAGAAGCGAAAACTCAGGAGCATATGGAGAGAAGGATACAAGCTGTGCTTTCCCTGAAAACCAGCATCACTTCCAACAGGGTACTGCTGCTGGGCTGGGATGGGAATGAAGTCACTGACTTGTTAGACTGATAGGTTTCCGTGCAAAGAATGTCAGTTTTCCTTGCAGAACTCTGTGATGATTTATGGTCACATCACTGACCAAACCTCCTCAGTCTGGGGAGAATTTAACTATTGGAGTGATGGGATGATGTCTGTGTTGGCAGGTTTTGGCACTGCTGCTGATGGAGTTTATTCTGTCACCAGTCTAGTTCTGGGAGGAGAACTCTCAGGAAAATAATGCATACTACAAATAAATCCTCTGAAAACTCTGCCAGAAGCATTTCCAGTTATTTGGATCCCAGTGCAGAAATACTCCACATGGGGAAAACATATGGAAGAAAAACAGTTATTTAAGAATTTAAATAATGTAAATTAAGAATTTCTGAGCTGTGCTGCTTTGCTCTTCTATTTATGTTCTGTAGGATCTGAGGGAATGATCTTCATTTAATACTGATTTGGCTAGAACTGTGTTTTCACATCCCTTCTCTAAGCAGCATTCCAAGAGCAGGCTGGAAGGGTAGAGAAGCAGCCTGGACTTGGGAGAGCTTTCTGCATCTCAGCACCCCATGGCTACAGACAATACTAAAAGCAATAACTTCTACTTCAGAGAAATCCACCACAAAAGTTTACTTGGATAAGGAGACCAACACCAAATCCTCTGTTTTATATGTGAATCAAGTATGTAACTGGTTCCTATGACTTCACAGGAAAAGCTCAAAACTCTCCAGTTTTGGAAGAAAGCAAAGGCCTTGGAGGCAAAGAAGCAGGAGATGAGAATGAGGGAAGCCATCCTAGCAGAAGGAGGCAATGTTGCCAAGGAAATTTTCTTCCATAAACGACAGTTAAAGCATGAAAAAGAGAAACAGTAAGTATGACATCCTTATCAAACTCTCCGCTGCTTCCTGGTGCTCATGCAGGAATGGATTGGAGCTCAGTCAGATTCTCAGAACAGAACATCTCTGCTGCTGCCTCGAGGGAGTGAGCTCACCCTCACTCTGTGTGTGTGACAACTCTGTGGTCTGTTCTGCGTGAACTTCTGGCTCAGATGTCTTACCCAGAGCACCAAAGTTCTCTGAGTGCTCCATGTGTAGTGCAAAGAAGAGCAACTACTCCAGGATGGAAATTCAGTGACCCTGAACTGCATACCTGACATAACTGTCCTTCTGCATTTCCTGAACACTGTGAAAGTCTCAATTAGCCTTTTAAAACATGATAATTGAGTGTATTTAGTCCACAGAAATGTATAAATAGGCTCTGAATTGCCTGGTGACACAAATTACCACTGCACTCAACCTACACTTGCTATTTAGCCTAAAGACTTCAAAGAAATGGGCTGTAGTTAATATTATTAGTAAGCAACCACGGTTGGGTTAATATTTCTTACATCATTGGATTACAGAGCTTATAGAGAACTGCAGAAATCAAGAAGAATTGAGATCGTGTCTCGAATTCTGCAAGAAAAAGCTTCTCTTCACAAGCAGAGAAAGAGTCAGTTCCATCCTGAGACAATTAAGGCTCGTGGGAAATGGGATGATCCTGTCCTGGGGAGAAGGAAAGCCTGGAAATATGTTGAGAAGACCCACACACATGCAGCTGGAGCCATGGCACAGGTGATCAGAGCCTAAGAATTAACTGTCTGCAGACTGATTTGTTTTTCCTGTCATAGGGGCAGGTCAGTGAAAAGCAGTCAGAAGAGCAGTCAGTATCCTCATGCCTGAGGCCTAATTTCTAGCCTGCTGTAGTACAGAATTTATGTCATATAGATGCCTTTGACACAAGATTCAGTGCTTCAAGAGCAGAGCAAACTAAGTTGTCATCTTTGGCCTCTGAGCTTTATAGAAACTCTCATTTTTGTATGAAGAGATCTCCTCAGGAACTGCTAACTGTTAAAGTAACTGTTCTCTACTAACTGTATCTTCAAAACTTGTGTCCTTTCCCCAAAGTCGTGGCACTGTCCATCCGTTTGCTCCTCAGCTGGTGAGAGAACTGCTGCTGGGGGAGAGACCTCTCAACACATACCCTGTGAGGTGCACTGGGAAAGTGATGGTGAGGAGAGAGACAGGGACAAGACCCTTGTGGAACTAGAGCTCCCAGGACTGTGGGATCAGGAGTATGGCTGGCACAAGGTAAATGGTGTGATAGCTCTTGTTAGAAATAGAAAAGAACCTTATTTAAAACCAACAGTTGCCTGTTTTGCAGTTAAAATGCAGCTTTTATGTTACTACATAGATGCAGAGATCAGATGTGGCAATACTATCAGTCACTGCTGTTTGACACTGTTCTCATGGGGTTCTTTTAAAGAGGAAACAATGTAGCTGGTTTAGAGCTCTGTGAAGACATCATCAGTCACTGCTGTTTGACATTGTTCTCATGGGGTTGTTCTCTTAAAGAGGAAACAATTTAGCTGGTTTAGAGCTCTGTGAAGACATACATCACATTATGCTCATTTGTTTGAGTTCAAAAACACTTCAGAATGAATCAAAAAACAATCATGTCATTGCATATTCCTGTGCTTGCGTAGAGAAGCACTGGACCATGACTGAAATGTTCCAGGCAAGTCAGCTGATGTTATTCTGAGTATTTGTTTAAGAAGTGGAGGGGAAAAAACCCTTTGAGTACAGAAGAGCTAATGCTGCCATTAAGAGCACAATGTCACAGTGTTGGGTGATGATAAGCTGCAGCACAGGCGGCTGAAAATAAATCAATAAATTAATTACAATAAATTAATAAATTAATGATGAAGTTGGGAGGATGAGTGTGGTCTGGGGGGAGCCAGGCAAGGGCTGGCCAGGAACTGCCCCAGGTGCTGTCATCACACACAGTCCTGTTTTTTTCCCCTGATGTTCCCTATTAGATACCCAAAGAAGAAATGGATCCAGGGCAGCTGTCTGCAAGGGCAGTGAAAACAGAAACATCTAAGAAAACAATGGAGGAATTACAAACTGGAGATTTTCCTAGGCAGATAGTGCCTGGTCATGAACACAAGGGCAGTACTTTCTACAGCAAACCAAGCTGCATCCACTTCAAGGTCAGTGGCCACCCTGCATGGGTTATAAAGATATATCTGCTGTAGGTGTATCCCAAGGTCTTGATCAAAATCCTCTTGCAGCCTTTAATAGGTCTTTGTCATAGAATCATAGAATCAACCAGATTGGAAAAGACCTTCAAGATCATCAAGTCCAACCCTACCGTGGTCACTAGCCCATGGCACTAAGTGCCACATCCAGTCTCACCTTAAAAACCTCCAGGGATGGTGAATCCACCACCTCCCTGGGCTTTAGTGACATTTGAAACAGCACTTGCCTTTTTCTCTAACAATCTCTTAGTTAAGTTGTAACCAGATAAAATAAAGTACTTAGTTTTACTACTTGGGTCTAAATTAGAAATTATTTCCTTTACCTTTTCTGTCAGAAAGGTGAGCAGTGATGAAACCTCTTGTTAGCCTGTGTTTCATGTTTTATAAAAGGCAACACAAGTGTAACCTGTACATGGTTTGTAAATACTTTATTGCTGTAAGAATGTCCTTAGAGGAGTTGTGACTACCATGGGGTTAGGATTTCAGTTAGTTCACCAAACTGTTAGACCATGAACATGACCCAGTGTGTTTGACACTCACCTGGTGTGTTTGGCATTCCAAGGATTTTGATGTTGGTCAAACCTACAAGAAGAAGCTAGTTTTGACCAATGCATCCTACAGCAGTAACTACTGCAGGCTGGTGGGAGTCAGTGAGTGGCTCAAGGACTTCATCACTGTTCAGTAAGTAAATTAACTGTGCACCCATCACTTTTGTTACCTCTGTGCCACAACAAGAACTGGAACCCAAATCTGTAGCCATTTCAATTCCTGCTTGTCATGGGTTCACCTGTCAGGCAGATAAACTCCACCCAGCAACTCCTCACTCCCCTCCTCAGTGGGATGGGGGAAAGTAAAGTTTGTGAGTTGAGATCAAAAGTTTAATTGGGCAGAAAAGGAAGGGAAAAAGCTGATGAAATAAAGGAAATCAATCTCTGAGCACAGAGCACTTAAATTGCAATCCTGTGGTCCTTCCCAGCAATCTATCCTGTAATCCTGCTGCCAGGTTATGTAAGGAAGCACTGTGTCTCCTTTGGACACTGCAAATTAATCTCTGTTTAGCTGATTGATAGGTTTGTTTGACTGCTTAGAACTGTAAGAAGCATCCCCAAAATGTTCCTTTTCAAGAAGAAATCAGACATGAGTGGCAGGTTCTGTTCAAGGTGATTTTGGCAGTTTGCAGCAAGCAGCACATTCTCTAGTCATTTGCAGCTACCTTTTTTGTGCCTCTTCATTTCCTGTCTGGACAGGGAGATGGTACAGAGCAGCATGACAAATGGATGTGGGAGAAGTTTTCTTCCTAGCTGTTCAAAGGGTGGTTGGGCCACCTTGTTCTTGATGGTTTCAAGCCACAGTGTCACCTATTTGGTTACAATCTCCCTGTCTGCAGCATGAAGACATCACTCTTACCTTTTAAAAGCACTTTAAGCCATCCTGAGCCAAACCTCAATAAAGAATCAGCCTCTGTAGTCCCAAAGTTGCAGCAGGACCCTGTAGCCCTTCACTGCTCTGTCACTCACTCTGACTTCTCTGATAATTAGTGCAAGTGAGGGGAAAAAAAGCCCAAAAACCATCTGCCATTACTAGCAGAGCAGGAGCTGAATGGTTCACATACAGCTTTAACTTGGAGTTTTGTGTTCATTATCTCCACAGCTTTAGCCCACCTGGCAAAATGTCTCCTGGAATGTCCTGTGAAGTCATGGTAACATTTAAGCCAGCGGTAAGTGCCTTAAGTGCCAAGTTACACAGGAGGAGAATCCTGGGATAACATCACTAACTGAATTTCTTAACTGCTAGCAAGGAAACAAACTACATTCTAGGAAAGCTACTGTTGTACATGGACAACTGTGAGTGTGTTCAAGCTCTGACAAACTGTAATAAGGCATATTCTGAGGGCAGGTTTGGAAAAATGCCTCCAAGTGGGAGCAAGTTTCCAGTGTTTATACTGCTGCCCAGCTCAAGTCACCCAGGCTGTTACCAAGGGCTGTTTTGTGCAGATCACTCAAGATACATTTTAATATGGTACTCAAAGAATGACTGAAAATACTTTTCATCACATATAGTTCTGCATAGGCTGGACCCTTGGAAATTACTTGGTTGGGCTGTTTTTTGTTGTTTTCTAGATCAATGAGAGTCTGGAAGGAGCAGTCCTGTTTCTGGCACTGACAGGTGCTTTTTCTGTCCCCCTGAAATGTACAGTCAAGAGCTGCATTGTAAGTGACTTTCTTACAGCATGTGGCTAATATAATTACTGTTATAAAAGGCAGATCTGGTTTAATTGACATTTCTGACTACCCAGGACAGTAGTAATTACTGGTTTCTCTCCTCCCAGCTGGCCCTAGATAAAGAGCTCATTGATTTTGGCAGCCACGTGGTGGGAGAGACAATTTCCCAGACCATCACCCTGACAAACAGAGGAGCTTTGGGAACAAGATTCAAAGTTCAGACATCAGCAGGTGACAGGAGTACACACAGAGCAACAGTCAAGTCTGCTCCTGGAAGAATGGTGGGTTCAAAGCCTTTCCCTAAAGGAACAGAAATGTTGTGCTGTGTGAAGTGTGGAGGAACTGTGCAGTCACAGGTTGGAAGGAGCTTAGGAAATCAGCTGGGCCAGCCTTTAGTACATTTGGGTTGGTGTAAATATCTGTTAGACCCAAATATCAAAAGACAAATTAAAAAACAATCGCTTGGGGGGGAGTGAGGAAACCAACAATGCCAACTTTCCCTAAAGGAACAGAAATGTTGTGCTGTGTGAAGTGTGGAGGAACTGTGCAGTCACAGGTTGGAAGGAGCTTAGGAAATCAGCTGGGCCAGCCTTTAGTACATTTGGGTTGGTGTAAATATCTGTTAGACCCAAATATCAAAAGACAAATTAAAAAACAATCGCTTGGGGGGGAGTGAGGAAACCAACAATGCCAATTTCTTACACGAAGACAAATTCAAAAACAATTGCTTGGTGGGGAGTGAGGAAACCAACAATGCCAATTTCTTACACATCTTAGTCATTTATGTCATGATTCTTATTTCCTCCACATTCATGATGGGAAAAATAGTTATACAAGAAGATTCTGACAGTCATTAAAAATCCCAACTGTGGACTCCAGGAAGAAGTATTTATCTGTATTTTCTAACAGGTCACTGACCCTGAAAAGGAAGTCAGCACTAGTCCTGTGACAGCTGTGGTTGAAAAGAAGGACCAGATTTGTCCTGACCCTGGAGAAGAGGTGACCCAATGTGCAGCCCAGAGCCCCAGCCCCAGTGCCACAGGTAAGGTGACTTTTCTGGAAAACTGGCCATGTAGTTTCCCAGGCCAAGCATTATCCATCTGTAGTTTCCTGTCACGAACTGTGACATTTAGTTTGCAAAGTTCCTCAGTAAACTAAGTAGTTCATCATTCTAGTAGTATTGTTATTTTCCTTTGTGTGCTGCCTCACAGGAAATGACTAAAAATACTGTCCTGACACCATTATATCAAAAGCAGCAGAGATATCCTCACTTCTCATTGTGATCAACAATTCAGGCTCAGAAGAATACAGAACCCAACCAGCTTCAGAGATTGCAAAATTGTTAGCATCATCCCTGTCTCAGCAACTGAATCCCCAGTGCTCAGAATAGCAATCCACATGACAGGTTTATTTTTGTAGTCTGTAATTCTAGGAACGAGGAAGCAGAAAGATGAACCTCCTCAGACATTTTCCATCTCATTCCTAATGTTTACTATGTGCTTAATAAAATCCAGTCTTGCAGAAGAAAAACTTATTCATTTATCATCTGTATTTGTCAACATTTCCTCCCAGTATTGATCATTCCAGTTTCAGGAAGCTAAAAGTTGCATGCAGAGGTTGTGGCTGGTTTTAACAGGTCCTCCTGGCTGCATTGCTTTTGCCCACTGAAATTGCCCTTGAAGCCTATCCACAATTCCAGCTGAGTTTGCATTCCTTGGTGTAACAATCTCCAGTATGGGCTTTACCCAGTGAAATATTCATGTTGTTACTCAGCAGTGGAAGGCTCAGGTGCCTCAGGTAGAATTTCAGACCAGGGGAGAGCTGTATGGCCCAACAGACAGTTCCTTCTAGGCATAATTCCTCATCAGTACATTTCTGGATTGGTAATATTTACCCAAATCCATGCTCTGCTGCTCTGTTGGTTGTTTTTTTTTGATGCACACATCCAGCATTTTGGATTTTGTGGTTTTCTTTTTCCCCTAGAACAACCTGGACAAGATGTATCAAATACCAGAGGAGATCTAGACACAGACAATGCAGATGATTCAGTGGAACCTTCTTCTGAAGAAACATTTCTGGATTGGTAATATTTACCCAAATCCATGCTCTGCTGCTCTGTTGGTTGTTTTTTTTTGATGCACACATCCAGCATTTTGGATTTTGTGGTTTTCTTTTTCCCCTAGAACAACCTGGACAAGATGTATCAAATACCAGAGGAGATCTAGACACAGACAATGCAGATGATTCAGTGGAACCTTCTTCTGAAGAAACACCAGCTGAAATTATGCTTGGAAAGGTAACGAATGTCCCAAGATTCCCCTAGTCTTAGCCTACACCCAGTTTCCCCTGGTTTGACTCTT